CCCTAAACCCCTACACCCCTCAACCCCTAAGCCCTAAACCCCTAGACCCCTAAACCCCTAAACCCCTAAGCCCTTAACCCCTAAACCCCTAAACCCCTACACCCCTAAAACCCCAAACCCTGGGATTTGGTTCAGGGTTTCAGAGCTTTAGCGCTTAGCGCAAAGAGATGGAGTTCCTCAGCTGGAGGCTGCGCTTGCCAAGCGACTGCCAAGAAAAAGCGGAGGGGGGGGGGGGGTTTAGCATTTAGGGTAGGGGTTCAGGGTTTTGGAGTTTTAGGCGTTTAGGATTTTAGGGGTTTAGGGTTTTAGGGGTTTAGGTTGTTTAGGGTTTTACGGTTTTATTAGGGTTGGGGGGGCAAGAACTCCGAGGTTTTGATGCTACCGCTTTGTGTTGAGGGTTATAGGAGCGCCGGTCTCTAGGTGCCAGGGTCTTGGGGTATAGTACCCTAGACTTATAGGGCGATTAGATGGGGACATTCTTTCAGGGAACTTGACACGTTGCTGAGCGACTGAAGCCCCAATTCACCCTGTTGAGGATTTGCGTGTTTGCGCGGTTCGCTCGCACACTCAACTGCCGGGCTGTGATCAACTGCTGCTGTTGTTGTTGTTGTGGTTGTTGTTGTTGTTGTCGTGGTTCCGTTTACGACATCATTCTATACCGTCCTGCAGGCGCCTAAGTAACCAGTAGTAGCATCCCCTTGTCGTCCTCAGTTTGCTTGTATTGTAATCTACCTCCCCAAATCTCATGACAATGAGTAAGGCCCCTGCAGTTATTCTTCTTCAGGAGTGCAGAAAGGGGCCTGAGAGCTTTGTGCCTGTCTGTCAGTTCGGGCTCATTTGCTCACGATTTTGCTGTGTACAGTGTACATCGGGCGACGTGCTCTGTACGTAGGGAGCCGCTTCAATGCCGGGAAGCAGGAGCAATACTCTCTTCCTCTTCCTGATCGAGGACCGGATTCTTTCAACCCTAAACCCCAAACCCTTCTGGGCACTGGAATGCTCCTGGCTGCTTTGGGTGCGATTGAGAGTTGAGGCTGCTAGAAACTCTATGGTTCTGGGGAATGTAGGCATCCCACCACACAAGTGCTGTGTTGAGGACACCCAATATAGGGGCCTTAATGATTACCTATACTATTTGGGGGTTCCTTATTATAATTATGGCATAATGGGCCCCAAAACCCTATTCTAATTATTAAGGCCCCTGTATTAGTTTCGAAAGCTCCCGATGCCAAAGGACCTTGACCTTGCCGTCTTCGTTAGAAAGACGTTCATTGAACTGGCACCTGTGGTCCAAGGTGCGCCCCGCTGCATTGGTTCAGAAGGTTTTCGAACTTGTCTGGGGTCCAAGTACTTCTTGTGAGATGTTCTCCGCCTCGAAGATATCTCGAGCCATATGCAAGTCTGTGCTTGAGGCCAAACTTCAAATGAGGGTTGTTCAACATTGGGGAGGCGATAGAACCCCAAACTGGCGACTGGTGGTGCCCACCGGCTCAGCCCGTATACATTTGCTTGTTTACAGGTCAGGGCAGCCGGCAGACACCCTCACTCTCACAGTCTCATGACAGATGAAGGATCCGCCCTTGGTAAACTAGTTGACACTGAAGGTCCATCCCAAAATCGCAGCCGGGGCTAAAGTAGAGCGCAATGCAGAAAGCTCAGCTGCTTTGGCAGATTGCCGAGTGCGGGGTTGTCAAGGGACCACACCTGATCCCAAAACTTTCGACATAGACCCAAAGCGTCACGAGAGCGCGGCAGGTCCAGAAATCCGTCGAGCGCGGTCAGAGCCGCAGTTGACGGAGTTATTGACGACGCCAAGGCTGAGCATGCTGTTTAGGGTTTAGGACTTGGGTCTTGTCGTTTCTTCTTGTACTGCACCAGCTGCTACCGCCACTTGTATGCGTGTCATGGAGACAGTGCGTCGTGTGCTGTTGTGGTTGTATCATTTCGTCAAAAGCAAAATGTTGCTCTCCGATAAACAAACCAGAAGCATTTTTACTAGTACCAGACCGAGGAGGATGAGGAGGAGGAGCAGGAGCAGGAGCAGGAAGAGCAGGGGAGGTGGACGCGCAGGCGAAGGCGTAGGCGGAGGAGAAGGAGGAGGAGGAGAAGTGAGGGTAGGAGCAGCAGCAAATAGTCTGAGTCTACAGCAGTGACTATGGCCTACGACTGCGGCTCCTACTGAAGCTGATGCTGCGCTGCTATTGTGCTGCTGCATATGTAAGGCCGCTGTTGCTGCTGCTGCTGCTACTGCTGCTGCTGCTGCTGCTGCTGCTCCTGCTACTGCTACTACTACTACTACTACTACTACTCCTACGACCAGTATGCGAGGAAGACTACGTCTACTACGACGAAGAAGGCTACTGCACTTACTGGATAACGGTTGTATCGGCGCTAACACGGCTGCAGGCCTGAGCAGGCTTGAGCAGGGAGGGTTGAGCACCGGCTGTAACAGCACTGCAGCAGTTAGAAGAACCCTAAACCCTAGACCCTAAACTCTAAACCTTAAACCCAAGGTTGAGGGCTCTAGGGTTTAAGGCGCTTTGGAGTTTGGGGCTGTAGGGGGGCGTGGGAACCCGGGTTAAGGGGGTTCAGGAAAAGGAGCAACAGCAGAAGGAGCAAGACGGACATTGCCAAGTCATGATGGAGCTGAGAAGTTCCTCGTTGTAAGTCCATCTTGTCGCAATGCCGGCTGCAGGTTGGAGATTTCTGAGAATGACATCGAATTTGATTCTGTGGACGAGAACTTGTGCCTCATATGGCAAGCCCACTGTGCAAAAACCTGTAGACCATGCATCTTCATTCATCGCAAGGCAGACGGATGCCGCAAGGGGAACTTGTGTTCCCATTGTCATTTCTGCACTCCTGAAGAGGCTAAGCGAAGACAAAAGCGGCTTTGTTCAGAACGTCGACAGGCAGCCAACACTAATGTCTGACTGCTTCGTATAAAATGCCGTTCGTTCGGCTGCTTGAAAACGCCAATCTGGTGATTGTCATGGCGCATGTTTGAAGTGGCAGTCGCCCACTCGAAGTGTCGCGACTAGTGCCGGGACTGAGCTTGCTTGTGTCCTTTTCTTTTTACTGCCAGCCGCGGACGGTTCTGGTATTGCAACGCATCTCAAGCATGAACACAGGCATTGCGACTTCCTTGAGAGAGTCGCGGCTGGCTGTAACAGTAGCAGTCCTTTGCGCAGATCATGTCCGCAGTGGTCAAGGCTTTCCGTCCGCAGCGGCTGAGTATGGCTTTTGAGAGTTGAAGGGAAAAGTCTGGCCGACCCTGAGCTAGTTCTTGCCGCTCTTCATGTCAGATCACGAGCATGATGTAGTGAGACCAGAGTAGCGTAGTTGCGGCAGTAGCAAGTGCAGAAAGCTAGAGGAGGCAGCCGCCACGTGCGCCGGTATCGTTTTTATGCTAGTTGCAGTGGTGGGTCGAGAGTCATGGTGGGTGATAGTGGTAGCTCGAGGGAGTTGCAGGAATCTTCCCATCTGCACCGATTCTGGATGCTCATGTCGCAGAGAGACCCCCAAGGCAAAATGTCAATGACGGTTAATGACAGTGACAATGCTTTTTTCTTTTGGTTGAGGCAACAATAAGTAAAGCAATGTTGAATGAAGACTCTGCCTCCAGCCAGCGACGGCGACGAGCTGTCATTAGTATGCGGATCCTGTCACGTTGATATCAACGCCCCCGTAGAAGTGCTTACCAACCCTAAACCCTAAACCTTGTGTCATGTGCTCCCAATCCTGTCATCAGTGCGACGCCAGTTGTGCAAGTGTCCCGTTTGCCCTTGCTCCTGCTGTTGCTGTCGCTCTTGCGTTTGCTGATTCCGTGTACTCTGGTGCTGCTGCTGTTGTTGGCGTCGTCGTCGCCCCTAGTCTTCGCAAGCCATAGAGCATCAGTCCTCTAAGCCTTTGAGCCAAAGCCTTAAACCCCAAACGCTTGGCCTGTTCGGCTAGAGCAGTGCATTCGGAAATCCATAGCCTCAACGCATAAGATAGGAGCCTGAATCATTGGAATAGGGTTTGAGGTATATTGTACTGTCATTGTGCCGGGATCACAGTTCAGACTTCTTTCCAACATTATTCATCCGTACAACACCACCAACATGGCCAGCATGGCGCTTCTGCCGCTCCAGGCCTGCTGGCTTCTAGGGTTTAGGCTTTGGGTTTTGAGGTTTAGGGGTTTAGGGTTTAGGGTTTGGGTTTACAGGTTTAGGGGTTTAGGGTTTAGGTTTCAGGGGTGCTGCGGCATCGGTGTTTTTTGGCCCGTTGCTGCTCCGTTGAAACCCCCAAGCCCCAGACCCTAAACCCTAAACCCTAAACCCTAAACCCCAAGCCCCAGACCCCAAAGCTGCCGCCCGGTTTCATCTCCCTTCTTTCGCCGGATGCTTGGGTTCTCTCCCTAAGCCCTCAACCTTTAACCTTAAACCCAAAACCCTAAACCCTCAACCTTGAGCCCTAAACCCTAAACCCAAAACCCTAAACCCTCAACCCTAAGCCCTAAACCCTAAGCCCTCGACCTTTGAACCCTAAACCCTGCTTCGGCCGGATGTTTTTGCCTTCTCTTTCACAGCAAAATTACGAGGCTTCCAAGCCCTGTCTCAGGAGACTCGGACCTCTGAAAAAAGGGGTTAAGGGTTAAGGGTTTCGGGTTTAGGGTTAAGGGTTAATGGTTTCGGGTTTAAGGTTTAAGGTTTAGGGTTAAGGGTTTGGGGTTTCGGGTTGAGGGTTTCGGGCTTAAGGTTTAAGGTTTAGGGTTAAGGGTTAAGGGTTTAAGGTTTAAGGTTAGGGTTTAGGGTTGAGGGTTTCGGGTTGAAGGTTTAAGGTTAAGGTTTAGGATTGATGGTTTCGGGTTTAGGGTCAAGGGTTAAGGGTTTCGGGTTTAAGGTTTAAGGTTAAGGTTTAGGGTTGAGGGTTTCGGGTTGAGGGTTTCGGGTTGATGGTTTCGAGTTTAAGGTTTGAGGTTTAGGGTTGAGGGTTTAGGGTTGAGGGTTTGAGGTTTACAGTTGAGGGTTTAGGGTGGAGGGTTTAGAACCCTAAACCCCCTGACTCTAGCCCTAGACCCTGGAATTTCAATCTTCTATAACGCACTTTTCTTTCTGGAGGCCGAGAAAGGCACCGAGAGGCCGTGGCTACCTGGCTGCACCGGTCATCAAGTAATGTGAAGGTTTGGGTTTAGGGTGTAGGGTTTGGGGGGTTTAGGGTTTAAGGTTTAGGGGTTTATAGAGGTTTAGGGCGTAGCGTTTAGGGCTGAGGGGGGGGGGGTTATCACAGGGATCCTGCTGCTAAGACCCTAGCAGAGAAAGGGGTTTTTTCTACTCCTGCACCCTAAAGTGTAAAAAACTGAACCAAACCCTAAAGCCCTAAACCCTAATCCTTTCAATCTTAAGCCCTAAGCACCCAGGAAGCTTGAAATAGCACTCGCCTCAGGCAGTACCTAGACCAAGGAGTGACAAGGAGCGCTTGCCGAACCATCGCGAGCGACTCCGGCTGATCTGTGACAACGTTCTCGAAGAAATGTCCCTGCAGACAGCCACGAGCAGTGAGCATGTGGGAGTGGTGCAGCTCTGGATCACCCCTAAATGGATGAAACTAGGGTGCTCTGCCACGAGCCTGAGAGCACCTCTTCACTGCGTGATCGCCTCCTCTCCTACAAGAGGGACCTCCTGGATGCTGACGACACGCACCTCACGGAGCTGCCCTGCGTGGTTGTCTGTCCACACAGCATCTTGCAAAGCTCTTGGAGGCTTTGTACAGTCCGCCTCTACAGGTGCACCTCAGCCCCGATGCCAAGCAGTGAATGACAATCGCAGCTTTCCTGCTAATTACTGCGACGAGGACGGCAGAGACGCCGCCGGCCACGAGGACGACGACTACTGCTGATGCTGCTGCTGCTGCTGCTGCTGCTGCTGCTACTAGTACTACCACTACTACTGCTACTGCTACTACTACCACAAACACTACTGCTACTACTGCTACTACTACTGCTGCTGGTGCTGCTGCGGCGGCTGCTGCTGCTGCTGCTATTGCTACTGCTACCGCGACTACTGCTGCTATTACTACGATGATGATGATTATTGCTACTACTACGACGACGACTACTACTACCACCACCAGTCCTACTACTATCACTACTACGACTCCTGCTGCTACTGCTGCTGCTGCTGCTGCTGCTGCCACGACGACTACTACAGCAGCTGCTCTTGTTGCTGCTTCTGCTCCTGCTGCTGGAAGTGCGACTGCGAGGAAACGTTATTCCCCATGTGTATAGCACCACTTATGGAGGCAGGGCTGGTGCTCGCAGTTCCCGATCATGATATAAGGCCTCAATATATCAATTATTCGTTTGGGTACAGGTTAAACCCTCAACAGCCCTCTTAACCCTTGAAAGAGGCTGTATGCCCTAAACCCTAAACCGTTTTTTATTCTGACCATGCTTGGCAGTGTGCAGGTTCAAGGTTTTTGCTTGAGTGCTTTGGAGTTTTAGGGTTTATTTAGGGCGTGGGGCCCCAAAATCAGAAACGCAGAAACCCTGAAGCCTCACCCCTGACCAAGAGCAGTCTCTAGAAAACTCACAATGACAAGACACCATACCCTAAACCCCAATCCGTAAATCCGACGCCGTAGAGCAACAAGGTTCGTGGACCTGCATGAGCGAGTGCAGTCCGGGTGCCCTGTGGTGCCGAGGGATATTTTTTGTTTGCGTTTTTTCGGGTTAGGAATGAAAGGGACCTTAAGCCCAGCTTACAGGCCTGAGAATTTCGATTCACTTTTCGTTGTTGTTGTTGGTACTGCTTATGATGATCATCATGGGCATTGAGAGTCTGACTGTCATTGTCAGGATTGTCATCAGCGTTATGAGCATTAGATTCGTTATTGGTGTTCTTTTCATGATGAGTACCACTCTCTGTTTTACTGCTGTCATCAGTACCCCCTTGCCTTTTTGATACCGAGCTTTTGCTTTTTGAATTTTGTATCCTCTACCCCATAAACCCTAAGCCTTAAACCCTAAGCCCAAAGCCCTGAGCCTTAAATCGTTCCCTAAGCCCTAAACCCTAGACCCTAAACCCTAAGCCTTAAACCCTTAGCCCTACACCCTAAACCCTAAAGCCTAAACCCTGTTGGATGATTCATTTGCGGCTCGGGTTTCAGGGTATAGGGAATAGTTAAGCCCATGCTCTTTCTTCGGTTCAGATTTGAGGGTTTTCGGGTTTTAGATTTTAGGGTTTAGGGTTTCGGGTTCCGTAACATGCCGTGGTGTACTGATATGAAGGCCTCTACAGTCTACAGTAGATGGTTTGGAATTCCCCCTGCAATTTTACGGAGGTGCCGCTTCAAACCCTAAACCCTGATCCCTAAACCCTAAACCTTAAACCTTAAACCCGAAACACTTTTTTTTTATCATATGTTGTAAACCTCAACTCGTTCGTGGGAAGTGGGCCTTTCGGAGTGTTTTGGGCCAGATTCCATCGAAGGCCGGGCCATATTCCAACGAAGCAGGGCCCTTCGCTGGCGAAGAAATCACCAACCCTGCAACGAAGGGCCCGGGTTCGTTGGACTATGGCCCGGCTTGCCTTGGAAATTGACAGGTTCAGGGTTCAGGGCCCAGGATTCAGGGTTCAGGGCATGGGGTCCTTTAGGGTTCAGGGCCTGGGTTCAAGGATCCAAATGTAGGGTTCGGGGCCGAGGGGGTTTCAGGGCACAGGGTTTAGGGTTCAGGGCACAGGGTTCATATCATAGGGTTTAAAGTTATTCTGGTGTTGAACTGCAGGGTTTAAGGTTCAGGATACAGGGTTTAGGGTTTAGGATCTAAGCACTAGGATTGATTACAAGAATCTGGTTTCTCAATGCTGAGGGTTCCTGGGTGGGTGGGGTTTTGTCTAAGATCAAAATAGCAAGCTCGACTAGAGACCGCTCGATCCGGAGACCCGAAACC